CATTACTGGCGTAGACAATAATTCAGATGACATTGGTTCTGGTGATCCTATAAGTACGGAACGGAARTAATGTTTAACTCGATATATTTTAAAGACGAAATAATTTTAAAAGTAAGGGTTGGTATCCAGCTCTAAAGTAATTGCTCAAAAAAAAGAAATACATTATTTCTTCAAGCAGTTTTGAGTGCTGGTTACGCATTGTGAAAGATCCACAATAGAAGAGCAAGAGATAGTAAACGAAAGAAAAAAACTTTGTGCGTAATATGTATGTATGTATGTGTATCGTAACATAAATTTTTTCATTGACACAAGGAATGTTGTTGATGATTGGTAAGTTTTATACAACATTTCAAAAAGAAATATACTTCATAATAATGAATTTAACGATTACTTTGAATTTCGTTCAAGAAACAATTGATGATTTGATGTTTCTTCGCAAAACCAGGTTTGCCATATTCACATTTTATTGAAAAAAAAAAAAAGTATTAAAAAGCAGTACTAGATTACTTTAGAGCTGCATACTAGCACAAGTACATTTATCGAAAGTTTCTTGACCGTTTCTCAAACGTTTTTTTATATGTTTTTACATTTTAGTACAAGTTTTTACATTTCTTGAGAGCTGGATACTAACTTAAACATGTAAAACTCAGCTTATCACAGTAAATGATTCGTAGATTTCAACAGTATTGGCTGCCGTCAGTCTGATAATTTGATGGGCTGCATCAAAATGTTTCCATCCCGATGGGCTGCCCCCCGAGGGTCCACATTTTTTATTTTCCTCTCTGCAATTTCACAAAAGTGAATAATGTCAAAAAGAGTAGGTCCATGCATAGCGTACTTATATTTTTTTGTGAGATTCTTTGTTTTTACATGAACTTCTTTTGTAGTAAATTTGTGTGCCATTTGCACTGATATATCGGCATAGTTGTGCAAATTTCGTTTAGCACATCGCAACTCTCCTATTTGTTCACTTGTTTATATCCTTCCATCTAAAAATATTAAAATTAGGTTTTGGAAKTATACTCGCACATAATATAATTAGCAATATAAAAATTGCTTGTCTCTAACGCTTTCCACAAATCTTTT